GTTAGCAGTCTGTCTGTCAGCATGGCTAACAAAGAAAAACAGCACTTCACATTCACATCTTCATGGTGATGTGCTAACCCCTGCCCCACTATACTGGTGCATGCCTTATTGATTACTTTTTAATGGCAGTAATTTTGTATTGTAACCAGTTACTTCACAAAGTAATGTCACCCAAGGACTGGTGAGGACTGACCTGAGGGGATGTCGATGCTAGCTATGGGCACTGTGGACTTTTTCAGTGTGTCCAAGATGGAGCCAAAGGGCTCTCGCACAGCTCCCTTGAAGCTGAAGCCAAAGATGGCGTCTATCACCAGGTTGTATGCTTCATCAATCGCTTTGGCCTGAGGAGACAGTTTTACCCAGATAAGTTAGTTTCAAAGGAATTAATCAATAGCTTGAAAGCACATTTATTTCAGTGAGTAAATCCATCAACTAAAGCTCCTCTTAGCTACCAATGAAATTATTCACTATCTAGTTTGCTGTAATAAAAACAGAGCTATTATCCCCTCAGTATCATTTAGACAACTAATTTAAACTTTAGCCTAATTACATTAGCTCTGCTCATGTGTAACAGAGCATTTGTACAGCTTCATACAAAATGCACAGTCAGAAAACAATAAGCAGTGTGTCTGTGTGGATAAAGCTGCAGCTACATATTTTATTAACACCAAACCTCAGGCATCTCAGTCAGGAATGGGATCTCCATTTTCTGGCACTGTGTGGTTAGGCCTTGGAACAGCGGCTTGTTTGGCCTCTTTGGGTACAGGATGGTTGGCTCATAACCCTGAAATCAGAAACACAAAGTACTAATGAAGGAAAAAGGAATTTAGGATTTTAAGGCTGAACGAGGATGTGAAAATAAATGTTTTTTTTCCTCTTCTGTGAAATTGGGAGACACTCACAAAGAGTTTCAGATGCCGGGCACAGACCAGGCCATCGCCCCCGTTGTTACCTGGTCCACAAATCACTAGCAGAGAAGGTCTGGCCTTCACCAGAGAAGTAAGTGGATATGCCTGAAGGTAAAGAAGAAAGCAAAATATACTTTGATATATTTAACCTCTCAGGACCTGGCGTCCACATATGTGGACATCACATTTTGGGTTGTTTAGACCAAAATACTAAATTTTGCTCTACAAGGGCCTGATATCCACTTACGAGGACATTATACTGCCACTGTTCTATCTAAAGTTTAGACGAATATCCTCATATGTGGCTCTAATTTTTCTCAGAAACAAAAATCAGGTAAAAAAAAAAATACTGCAATTCTTTGTTTTTACATTCATCGGGTCCCAATCAGCCCAAATATCAAAGAGAAATTAAAAATACATGTCATGGAAGAGTTTGGGTCTTAGGAGGTTAAGGGCCCGTTCTGTGTTAGTTACGCAAACCAAGTAAAGCTTCTTCCTGCACCTTCGAGCAAAATGCAGCTGTATCAAGTGCATCTCAATTCCACAACAGCAAACTTAAAAGTGCAGTGAAAACATTTCAGACTTTGATTGTGCAAAAAGACGAATGTTTCAACATTACTATAACGTCATCAAGTGTAATGTTACTTTAATCTGATTACAGAAAAATAAAGGCTGACGAGTAAGATTAGATCAGAGTTTTTGGGGAAATTCATCACACGATTTTTGCATAAGTGGTTGGTAGCTGTCTATTTAAATCAATGTTTAAACTTTTATTTTTGTAACTGGATTAAGTGACTCAACCATAGAATAGAAGAAAAAAGCGAAAATATTTCTACACCCCACTTTCGATCCTCGTTTCTTTTTTCAAACCCTAAAGACACCAAACTCATTTTTGAGCAGCTGGAATAGGTAGTGGTCTCACATTAGTTCCTGAAACAATTATTTTACATTATAAAAGAGTTTGTTGCCAGTCCAGTGACTAACATTCCTCCCGTTAGATTTGCATTTCAAAAATAAGAGCCCACGGTGACGCTCACCCGTGTGACGGCTGTGGCACAGCTGAGTCCAGCCAGCTCCATCAGCTGATCCACGCTGAAGCCGTACTCACTGAAGAGCTCCTCGTCGATGTGCTGGGCCTCCTCCTGCCTGTGAAGTATTTACAGGTCAGTCTAGACTCATGAAGTCTGGTTTTACTCTTATGTGTGAAAAGGTTAAAACCTTCACCCGAGATATTTGATGGCCTGGGCCATGGTGGACGCTGGTCTGCTGCTGAAACAGTCCTTTCTGTGGCTGTTAGCTGCAGCGGGCAACGGGCATGTCCCTGCCTGAGCGAGGGCTGTCGCGGCTCGTGAGGTCACCAGGAAGCCGATCCCAAACAGAGCTCGAACGCTCAACATCCAGATGGATACAAGCTCCTGAGGAAATTTAGGAAAGGACCACAGTGAGCAATGTTCAGTCTGCTGATGACGCAGGTTTCACTCCTTTCGCTGTTTCCTTGCGTTTTTATTTGCTCACACCTGCAGACTGCAAACTTAGAAAATGCATTTTTAATCAGTCATTCCCTTCGTCTGCGCTGCTGCTTAGTATGCGTTAAAGAAAGAGGTGAGACACCCCACTCCCACACAGTCTGTGCAACACCAGAACATGGTTGATTAAAACTAAATAAAAAACCCATACTAGGCATTTAAAAAACAAAATTATACAACAAAAATGATCTAAAATGATACTGTGTGATTACAAAACTAATACATAGTAAAGTGTATTTTCTGTGTAACCATCAAAACATCTAAGTGCAGTAATATTTGAAGATCTGACAGCTTTATTTCCTCTCACAGGAGAAAATCATCTTGAATTAGACCACTGCAGCATTTAAAAAAATAAATTAACAATAACAAAAACAAATGTAAACAGATTACAAGTCACTTATTTTATGTAAATACACTAATAATCAATACAGTGAAAACTATTATCTGTATCGCTAAAATTATGTGAAAGGAACATTATCACAGGAATCTCTGCAATTCTGTGAAAAACTAATTACAGCCCATGATTCAGCAGCTTGTAGCACCACCTTTAGCAGCAATCATTTCCTGTATGAGTTTATCAGCCTCTAACATCACTAAGGGGGGATTTTGTCCTACTCTTCTTTATAACATTGCTTCGGTTCCTTGAGGTTTGCAGGTATTTATTAATGCACAGCTTTCTTAAGAGCCTGCTGCATTTTAATCATGCTGAGGTCTTTCACCTGGCCATTGTAACACCTTGATTCTTTTCTTTTTCACCAATTTGCTGCTGTGCTAGACATCACTTTCCTGTTGCATGGCTGAATTTGGGTCAGGCTTTAGCTGTCAGACAGATTAAAGAACAGCTGAATCAAATATGAACTGGTGCAGTCAACCTGGTGACTGTAAGGTGACCACATCCTGTGTCTGCAAAACACTCCTTCCAAACGATCCAGACTTGTTTAGTCTTTCTCTAACTGTACTGTCATGAGCTTTAACATTTAAGTGAAGCCTGTAGAGTATCAACATTGCACAGTTCGATCTTTTGGTGAATTTGCTGGGAAGTTTGTGGTACTGTGTTGACACACCTGAATGTTGCAGACCAGCAAAAGTGCCTAAACTTCTGCTTTTACAGAGGTGCTGATGATCAATTAATCGTGCATTTGATTAGCAGCACCTTACTGCTACATACCGTCTTAATTACAATGAAAGCAGTCAGGGTGTACTTATTAATCCACATGACTGCACAGAAATAAAAAATGTCTGAACTATGAACACTGAAGTGAAACAGATTTCACTTGCTAACATCCAGTTCGATTTATGTTCAGATCAACGCGACTAATATTTGTAAATGTTTATTAGCATTTGTATTTTTTAAAAATGTATTTTATCTGCATTACACGGTTATGTGGATATTACTGTGTACACATTAATGTCGCAGGGCTACAGTAGGAGCACTCTCATGTCCACTTCACTGTTATCTAGCTCTGACTTGCTAGCTAACGTTTAGCATTTGCTCCGCTTCGTGTGAAAACATTAGCGACACTCACCAAATTTTAACACCCCTTTTCTTGCAGACAGCTTCACATGCAGTTTTGTCCTTTTAAACCACAAAGCTCTTAGTTTTGGAGCTTTGACGCTGTGCAAGAGCAACACTTGCACTCTGACCTTGTAGGCTACTTCCGGGTTTGAAAGCGACCTGAAAACCAGGATTCCAAAATAAAAGCCTGTTCTTAGGCGGAGAGACTGCAGTAAAAGACACACTTTTCTAATTAAAATGAGAAAATATGCTTAACCCTTACTTATATATAAATGAAAAGACAGCATAATGGAGTTATTAATAGAAGTAGAATCCCTCCACTATATGCCAGCTATATAGAATCAGGCCCATGTGACACACGATATAAGCCTATTTTATACATTCTTTTTTTATATCTTTAATTTAAATATAACTAGTAAAGCACAAATGTTCAAAAACATTTCCATTAAAGTTATTACAGTAAATAATTCTTTATAAAAACAGAAGGTCTATGAGCAGAAACTTCATTTATGATTTGGTATGTTCATTATATATATATATGAACGATTTGATTTTGAAAATCTTTATTTATTTTTTGTAATTTTAAGAGGCAGGAATTCCTTCTAAATAGCGGAGAAAAGGTACAAAAACATAAATGAAATATTCAAGTAAAGTTCAAGAGGTGGTGAAATAAATGCACCTTATAGTTTTATAATACCGTGGACAAGTATGAATACTGAACAGTTATAATCTGTTCTTTTATATTATTGTTATCATGTAATTGTGAACCTGAATATAAATGTCATATTTTTCTTCATTTGAATGAAACTAGAATTTTTTTTTAAAAAATTATTGATTTTTATTAAATCAATAAAACTCTTGGCCCCAGAACAAAGCAGGGAGGGGATACTAGCCTTTGGCATACCAGTCGCCTGTTCCAACAGGTGAACTATATAGCAACACCTGACTGTGTCCTATTAGATTCTATGGTGAGGCAGTAAATATTGTAGGAAACTGAGTAAATAGAAAGACACAGAAAAAAGGCAGGTTTCTGAAAACACGTTTATTCATTTTAATAAAAAAACCCAGACAATATTCTGTAGATCTGTAGCAAGGTTGGGTTCATTTTACCTTCACTGTGTAAGAAGATTTAATGAGAAAAATAAAGTTTTCAATTTTGGTAAAATTGTAAACTGATCACAACCCCGCTGTGTCAGAGTGTCTGTAGAGTATAATGAAATTAATTTGAATTAAGTTTTTAAAACCAATGAATGTTAAAGTAACTGGTTTACATTTTCCAACCTTAAATGTCCCTAATATATAAAAAAACAAACAAAGCTAACCCAAATTAACCTTTAGGCTCTGGAAAATTATTCTTATTCATGCATATGTACATTATAAAAAGCAGTATAAAAATTTCTGGCATTCAATAACTTGAAATTAAATTGAAAGTACATAAACTGAACTAAAAACTATACCAGATAACTCAACAACTGATACCTAAGAAGCTATAGAAAATGTAGTGTAGTGGCCCCAGGGCTTCACATGATTGGACAGCTCTCCATTCTGCCTCCAGTCTAGGAAGAAATTTTGACAAAATTAGAATTATCACACATGCATATTAACAGACAAAAAAGAGGTAATCTTTGCATGAAAGGGAAGTCATATATCACCCGTTTGAGCTGCGGTACTCACCTTGCGAGGTGTGCTCGTGCTGAACACATAGGAGTGGGGCAGTAAACCCTCGGAGATGCCTCCGCTGCGGAAGGAGCGGGAAGCAGAGGACACGGAGCAGTTGCTGGATTTATCTGAAGGAAGTCCGCATGAGCCGCACACGACCGTCCGGCTCCGCAGGTTGTACTCGCCGTCCCCACAGGTGCTGTGAGCCACCTGCTGAGGCACAGACACAGCTTTTAATTAGTGTGTGTTTAAGATAAAAACCTGTAGCGGTAATAAAGGTCAAGTATGTGTCGTGGTGTCTGTGCTTATTTAATTTTCATTCCTTCTCACTGATATTTTCCTAATGTTTTGGTCTCTGTTTTGTCTTTCTTGTTTCCATTTCCTGTCTTATTTTGGTATGTGCTTTTCTTTGTGTCTCTTGAGATTGACTTCCTGTCTTTGTCTCTTCCTCCCCACCTCTGACCCTCCTTTGTGACTGCCTGCCCCACCCTTATTTGTTTAACGAGCATCTACTCAGTCCTGTGTGTGTAAATAGTCTGTATCTACGGGAGGACTGGTTTTGTAACAGCTTTTGTTATTAAACCCGCCTTTGTCTCCTGTATTTTTGTAGCCCTGATACAATGAACAAGAGCCTAAAAAAGATAAGTAAACTGTTTTTTTTTTAAAAAAAACAGTTAACATTGAGTTGTGTAAACAGTTGATGAAATATATGTGTTTGCAACTATTCTTTTGACACTACTGATAATCATTTTTCTAGTAAGAATGTAAAATATCCATTGGGAGCTGCAACTGTGTGAGATTTTGCTGTATTTCTTCATTTGCACACGCACATGTGTCCTTGCTTCACCTAACTAAAAACACATACATCCTTTTAAATATCTTTATTTTACTTACCAACCATCACCTTATCATGTAACACGTAATGCTCAGTTTCAATGTTACCACCCCACACAGTGATACGGATCCATTTGAAATGTTAACATCTGAATTAATGTGATTCTTATTTTAATTCAATGCAAAACCAGTGGATGCTGTTAATTGGATTCTGGTCCTGCACATGATCTCATTATGCACATGCTAGAAAAACTATAATTTCTCTCACCATGTCATCATCTTCTTCTTCAAACTGAGTGCGGGTCACCTTCCTCATTGCCATTTCCTGAAAGAAAAGTGTTGTAGTTCTTATTTATTCATTCAGTTTCAGTATATTTTAAATATACTGGCCATGAGTTTTGATGTCTTGACACTTTAGGTCTGAATGAAATGTCTATCAAGCCCAATAAGTTGATTTAATTCAAAATACCTCTCCATTAGTGTTGATCAAAGTAGTCTGGAAGAGGTCTCCGGTGCCCCAGGAGGGCTGATTCTTCCACACCAGGTCAGATGGAGGATTATGAGTTCCACCAGAATTAGAGGCCCAGATCTGACCACATGGACAGTACAGAGTAAATCATCTGTGCTAACCAGGTGTTGATTGGTGATTCTGATCGCTGAATAAAGACGCTACTAACCGTCACCCTCTGACCAGCCTTCAAGGTGAATTTAGCTGGGAACTTGAAGGCGCTGGGAGTGCCAGATCCCACCTGCCGCTTCACCTGCCAGTTCCCCAGATTCTGATCCTACAAGAGCAAGAGGGTAGTTGGGTAAAAACGTCAGAGTTCAAAGTCTCTACATTACAAATAGTAATGTAGTCAGTCCACCTCCAACTTCTCCATCTCACCTCATCAGCTTTGTTGCTGAGTCTGACATATTTCCCATCCAGATCCACCTCGTCCACAGTGACACGTCCACTGGCCGAGGCCTGCTGGGTGATGCGAGTGCGGGAAACGGCTCCACCGGCGAAGCTGGAGGCCTCGCTGTCTGTGTCGTTAGGGCGACGTCTCTTAGCAGGGGAGTTCTGAGCGCTGTGGTGGATAGATCGAGAGAGAGCTCCAGAAGTAGAGGATCGACTTCCCGCCGCCCTGGTAGGAGGAGGGCTGGGCGAAAGACGCAGTCTGCAGAGAGAAACGTGTTGATGGCGATGATGAGATGAATGAAAAAGTTTATGAACCACACAGAGGAAATGATGACCGTCGTTACACATACCTTTGCTCTTCTCCCTCCAGCAGCTTCCTGTAGGCGCATATCTCCATGTCCAGGGCCAGCTTAACATCGAGGAGTTCCTGATACTCATCGAGCTGCTGCTGCATCTGGTGCCTCATTTCTGCCATCTCTCGATCCTTCTCACCCAGAAGGCGACGCGTGCTGTCCCGCTCCCGCGACAGAGCATCCTCGAGGTCCCTGATCTTTGCCTCACGAGCTGCCAGCTGGATCAAACCAAAGAGTCACAAAGTTACTGCCAGATAGGATCAAACAAGCAAGTCTGGAGCAATCAAGGAGTGAGACAGTTAATAACTGAGCTCAAAAAACAAAGAAAATCTAGAGAAACCATGAAAAACTGAACTTTTAAACAAATTAATGGAGTTTGCAGCCTGCATCAATTTAAAGAGCCTAATTCATGTGAATCTATAAAAACAACTTCTGTTTTAAATAAAATTGATTTCTGTGGGGTCTGTTTTTACTTTAAAACATGGATGTCAAATTGATTTTGCATAGTGAGTCACATACACCCCACTTTGATCTTAAGTGTTATTGAATTGGCTGGACCAGTGAAATTACATGATAAATAAGCAAAACTACAGAATAATTTATGTTACTTCTTTCCACAGACTGTTCTGTAATGATAAAATAGAAAGTTTTTGTTGTTCTTTTCACTATGGACTCAATATTTGAAAAACAAACTTTCTTGTCATTTAGTTGCTTAATTACTTTGATTTAGCATGAAAGTGGGCACTCTTTATTACCAGGAACATCTGTAAAACCTATGAAACTGCAGTTAAAAATTCAAAATCTATGCACTCCTTTACATTTTCTACAGCTTTGGCGGGCCGATTGTGTCTTATGTTTTGTACCCCTGCTCTGAAATATGAAAAATATCACAAAGAGCCCCCTTTTCTTTAAGCGATGTATGCTTGCAGATAAGTGTGTGCTGATTATTTGTAAGAACCTGTTTCTGTAGCTGGCTGAGCTGAGTCGACGTGGACTCCAGGCGTACTCGGATCTGCTGGAGCTCCTCGTGTGCTGCCCCAACCAGGTGGCTGCTCCTGTCTGCTGACTGACGAGCACTCTCCAGCTGATGGAGGGAGATAAAACATGGACTGTAACCAAATTCTACTAGAAATTTGTGAAACTGCGAAACCTCAACAACTCGGAATTACACAACCATGTCACGATGTTTTAACTGGATATTTCTGCTGCGCAATTATTTAGTGCAGCTTTCTTTCACCACTGAGGACCAAAACAGAAGACATAAATGCTGCAAAGTAAATCTTTAGTACCAGTAACTTGATGGTCTACCTTGGAGTTGTAGGTCTTCTCGATCTCATCCTTGTACATTTTAATCTGCAGCTCATGCTGGTTGCGCATATCCGCCAGCGCCTCGGCCAGTTTGCATTCAAACTCCTGCTGGTGGCCATTATCCAGTTCAACCATGCGGGACTCATGACGCCTCTTTATCTCCCGCAGCTCCTATTGAAAATTTACCAGCAATGATTATCAGTAAAGTCCAGCATGGGTACTTTTTAAAATGATTAACTAATTATAAGAACATATGCAAAAAGCGCTCAGACCTCAGAGTGGAGGTTCTTCTGAAATTCCAGCTCCTCTTTCAGAGTCTGGATGCGATTCTCTCCATCCACCCTCCTCAGCATCTCATCCTGCAGCTGCTTCTTGGCATCGGCCAAGCTGGTATCCAACTAAAAAAGAAGCACAAAATGGGCCGAGTATGAGTACAAAGTAATGCTGCGGATTGGAAAATAAGCAGTCAGTAGAGTATGCGGGCAGGAAAACATGCAGAGAGGCTGTCCTTCAACCACTGCTGAAATCTGAATTAGCTGACATTTACTAACAAAACTTGGAAGAAAGAGAGGAGGATTATGAAGGACAAACAGAGAGGTTCTGAGCTTGTAGACTGACTGCAGAAAGATTGAGCCCAGATGTGTTTCTATTGAGTTTTAAATTGAGCGTGGGTTTGACTTTACCTTGGCAACCTGCGTCTTCAGGTCCCTGTTTTCCACCTCGAGGTTACGCTTTTCTCCCAGAGCCGTAGTCAAGGAAGCATCCTTCGAATTAAGCAGAGCCTCCAGGTCTTTGAGCCTCTGCAAGGCTCCCCCCAGTTCTGACTCTTTTTTAGTGTTCCTATGAAAACAAAAATGGAGGACTAAGTTCCACTTTAAGTTCTCAAAGTGCAGCCTTTGTTCATTTTTAGTGCAAGCATGAATGAAAGAACACACTACTTTACATTTTCTATGACAGCTTTGAGTGAGATCAAGGGAGGATTTCTCATTCATGTTTATCTCTATTAGCTTTGAGAATCCATAGTTTAAGAGTTTAAGCATCTTACTGCATTTGTTTTAGTGACCTAAGACCTAAAACTGAATTACTATAGTTTCCTTTACACACTCGAATCAAACAAATATGAGCTATTTTTGAATGAGGATGTCTACAAGAAGCAGAAGCAGGGGAAAGACCTCGGTGCATATGACTCATAGACCACAGTGATTTTCATCGAGTCCCGTGGATCTGGTAGCCACAAGCCACAGCCGTTGGTGTTTAGCTGAGATATTGCCATGGCAACGGTTTGGCTTTGCCAAACACACTGTGGTCGTCGTCTTATTATTTACGGAAAAATAATCCAGGCAAGAGTGGAGCTCTTTAAACACTGCCACGTATTGTGTATAATGATGACTTTGGTGAAGGAGGAGAAGCTGGGGAAAGAGTTAGTCATCAGCCTCTGGATGTGGAAGCATGGGAAAGAGCTGGAGTCCCGCTCCAGCTCTTGCCCAGTGAGCAATGAGGAGAATATGCTACAGCTATAGGGAGTGGTCCCAACGGCAGGGTAACACAACTCTCAGTGCATCACCAAGTTAAAACATCAGTTATTAAAAGATTATGAGTAACTGCTGCTTAATATGTATCAACACTGAAGTCCAAACTCTTTCCCACTTGTATTAAGGGACAAATAGATGCCTTCAATTGAAAGGGTTTGTTTGAAAAGGGGGATTTTAGATGCCTCGCAGCAGCGAGACAT